ATGAGAGTGACTGAAAGGGTTTTCTAACTTAAGAAAAGGATTTTGACGGTTGAGTACAGAAAAGGAAAAGTTGTCAGTTGAGAAGACGTGATGATTGACTTTCCATCTTCGAACTGCAAACTGATGTGAACGAAGTGAAAAGAGAGGGAAAGAATCGGAGGCGTAATTAATGCGTGGGAAAAGGACAATTATAGCACTTAAAAGTAATTAAGCACATAGGTCCTAAGAGTTATTAGAAAAGAAAATAATTCCAAGTAATTTTCTCAACGTACAAAATCTTTCTTCTAACAAAGGCTTAGTAAAAATATCGGCTAATTGAGAAGAGGTGCCCACAAAGGCTATTTCTATATCTCCCTTAAGAACATGATCTCTAATAAAATGATGCTTAATATCTATATACTTTGCTCTAGAATGATGCACAGGATTTTTTGAAAGACAAATAGCACTAGAATTATCACAAAAAATTTATATTGGTTTAAACGAAAGCTCATAGTCACCCAATTGATGAGACATCCACAGTAGTTGTGCACAACACTGTCCGATAGCAATGTATTCAGCTTCAGTAGTGGACAAAGCGACTGATGCTTGCTTTTAACTGTTCCAGGATATTAATGCCTTTCCTGGTAATTGACAAGTGTCGCTTGTGCTCTTTCTATCTTCTTTATCACCTGCAAGATCAGCATCTGAAAAACCTTCTAATTTAAAAGAGTTAGAGCGAGGATACCATAATCCATGAGATACAGTTCCAATGAGATATCGAATGATTCTTTTTACATCAGTCAAATGTGATTCCTTGGGAGCTGACTCAAACCTGGCACATCTACATACGCTGAACATAATATCTGGTCGACTTGCTGTCAGATATAGCAGTGATCCAATCATTCCCCTGTATTTGGTTTCATCAACTGGGGTGCCTTGTTCATCTTTGTCTAGATTTGTAGCGGGGCTCATAGGAGTGCCAATTGATTTTGCATTGTTCATACCAAATTTTTGAATCAGCTCTTTTGTATATTTGGTCTGACAAATAAAAGTTCCTTCTTCGGTTTGTTGGATTTGTAGCCCAAGGAAGAACGTGAGTTCACCCATCATGCTCATTTCAAACTCGCTTTGCATAAGAATTGAAAATTCCTTGCACATAAGAGGGTTAGCACTACCAAATATAATATCATCAACATAAATTTGAATAATGAGATTACCTTCTGATGATCGTTTAATAAACAGAGTAGTGTCTATTTTACCTCTGGTAAAGCCATGATCAATAAGAAAAGTACTCAGCCTATCATACCAGGCACGTGGAGCTTGTTTCAACCCATACAGTGCTTTGGCAAGCTTGTATACATGGTATGGAAATTTTGAATCCTCAAAGCCTGGAGGCTGTTTTACAAAAACTTCTTCCTCGATAAATCCATTCAAAAAGGCGCTTTTAACATCCATTTGAAACAGCCTGAATCCTTTAAAGGATGCGTATCCCAGAAGAATTCGTATAGACTCCAAACGAGCTACCGAGGCGAAAGTCTCATCATAGTTGACTCCTTCCTGCTGTGAATAGCCCTGTGCAACTAGTCTCGCTTTATTTCTTATGACCTTTCCATCCTCGTTCAATTTATTTCTAAATACCCATTTTGTTCCGATCACAGACACATTTTCAAGTTTAGGTATTAGTTTCCACACTTGATTCTTGCTGAACTGATCTAATTCCTCCTGCATAGCTTGCACCAAGCTTGAATCCTTCAGTGCTTCCTCTACCTTTTTTGGCTCAATTTGAGAAATCAATGCAATATTTGCTTTCTTCTTGAGGGCAGCCCTGGTTTTCATTCCTTCGTTTGGATCCCCTATAATAAATTTCTGAGGATATTTGGGTTCGCTTCTCCATTCATTTGGTCGAATTATATTTGTAGTCTACTCGACTTGTGGGTCTGGAGTATTGCTGCTATTTTCTCCAGTTGACTCGATCACCCCAGATGTGCTAGTCGACTCCTGTGATTTTCCTTTGTCCTGAGCTTCTTGAGTTTGATCTTCGTCACCTGCAATAGTTCCTTTCTCGACCAAGGGATTATTTTCATCGAATATAACATGTACAGATTCTTCTACACATAAAGTATGTTTATTGTAGACTCTAAAAGATCTGCTATTTAACGAGTAACCAAGAAAAATACCTTCGTCACTTCTTGGATCAAACTTTCCAAGATTATCTTTACCGTTATTGTGAATAAAGCATTTGCTTCCAAAGGGATGGAAGTAACTGATATTTGGACGTTTACCTTTCCAGAGTTCATAAGGGGTCTTCTTCAGAATTGGCCTTATGAGGCAACGGTTGAGGATGTGACAAGCAGTACTTACGCCTTCTGCCCAGAAATGGTTTGGCAATGAATGTTCTGGTAGCATGGTTCTTGCCATGTCTTGGAGAGTTCTGTTCTTCCTTTCCACAACCCCATTTTGCTGTGGTGAGCGTGGTGCAGAGAAATTGTGAGTGTATCCTTGATCGTTGCAGAAGTCTTCAAAAGCTCTGCTTTCAAATTCTCCTTCATGGTCACTCTGAATTTTTGAGATCAGATATCCCTTTTCTCTTTCAACCTTTTTGCAGAAAACTTCAAAATTTCTTAAGGCTTCATCCTTATGAGACAAGAAGATTACCCAGGTGAAACGTGAAAAGTCATCAACAATAACAAAAGCATACCTCTTACCTCCTATGCTAGCAGTTCTAGTAGGCCCAAATAAATCCATATGAAGTAATTGCAAAGGTTTTGAAGTAGATACTATATCTTTATTTTTGAAAGAATTTCTGGTTTGCTTACCCATTTGACATGCATCACAAATATGAGTTCTAGAGAAATTCAGTTTAGGCAAACCAATAACTAAATCATGTTTGGACAGTTTTTCAATCAAATGCATGCTAGCATGGCCAAGTCTTCTATGCCATAACCATGGATCATCAGACATAGAGGATAAGCAAATGTGGCCATCTATCTTTTCAAATCCATCAAGTATATAAACATTTCCATACCATTTTCCAGGAAGAATTATTCGTCTTCAATAGCACACCCTGTTCTCTTAAACTTTACCTCATATCCTGAGTCGCAGAGTTGACTTATGCTCAAGAGATTGTAGTTTAGGCCATCAACGAGATATACTTCAGTAATGTCACAGTTGTTATTGAAAGGAATTGTTCCAGTGCCAACTATTTTGCCCCTTGAATCGTCTCCGAATTTTACACTTCCTCCATCGATCTTTGTAACTTCCTTGAACAGGTTTTTGTCACCTGTCATACGACTGGAACACGCACTATCTAGATACCATTTTCCTTTGCGGCTTACTCTGTGGTGTTCTTGCAAGACAAGACGATCACTTTCTTTTAGGTACCCAAGCTTGCCTGGGTCCTCGTGGGTTAGTGTTACTAGGTTCAGAATTTTTTGGTTTCCAAACCCATCCTGACACATTTGATTTACGAAAGTGACAACCGGAATATTTATGCCCACTTTTATTACAGTAATGACATTTAGCTCCAAACCTGTTTATAGGTCTTTCATAAGTGTTAGAACTAGCCGACTTAGATTTAGCTGGTTCTTTCCTAGTTGACTTGTAAGTCATCTGGTCCGACCGACTGGTCGACTTGGTTCTGATTGGTTCCTTTCCAGTTGACTTGTAAGTCGTCTGGTTTGACCTAACAGAACTATGACTGGTGGATTTGCGCAAGCTGTTAAGCTGCATTTGCAACTCCTCAAACTCTTCTTGAAGTACCTCTTTTTCGATTTCACATACTTCATGTTTGAGTTTCCAGTCTTTAACCTCCCTAGTGAGTCTCTTAAGTTCATTCATCATTTTTTGAGACTCTTCTAAAGTTGAATCAAGAATATCCTGCAATTCATTACATCTTTCGCAGTCATAAGACCTTACCTCACTAGTTTCACCCCGTGCCATGAAACATTTCTCGTCATCTGAATCCTCTTCATCTGTCCAGCATCCTGAGGTTTTGTTTATTTCATTTTGCAGAATTGTCATGAAACAAAGATTTGCCATTTCTTCGTGGTCTGAGTCATCCTCATCGCTCCAGCTTCCGAAGGATTTGTTCTTGTTGAAGCCTCTAGAGATCTTCCTTTTCAGTTCTGGGCATTCAGCTTGAATGTGCCCAAATGCGTCCTTTCGAAAGCAATAAGCTCTCCTCGCAGTTCATCATAGGACAATTTGTTTAGGCCTTGAGATTCCAGAGTGACTACTTTGGTCTGCCAAGTGGTTAGCAGACTTCTGAGAATTTTTCTGACTTGATCACCACTGGTGTAGGGCTTTCCAAATGCCTTTAAGTCACTAATTATCTTACTAAACCTGGCAAACATTTCTTCAATGGATTCTCCTTCTTTCATTGAGAAGAGTTCGTAGTCATGAACTAGCATGTTGATGTGAGTTTCCTTTACTTTGCTGGTTCCCTCATAGGTGACCTCAAGTTTATCCCACATCTCTTTGGCTGTATCACAACTCAATATTTTCTCATATTCCTCACCACATATAGCATTGTGAAGCAGATTTCTTGCCTTGTTATTCACTTGTACCGCTTCCAGTTGCTCCTTTGAGTATGAATCTATATCATTAGGATCAGCAAGTGGTGGAGTGCTAGCAGGTAGGGGATAGTTTCCCTTTTTAATAACTCTCCAGAATTTGACATCGTATGCTTTAGCAAAGATTTCCATTCGTACTTTCCAGTGAGAGAAATGTTGTCCATTGAAGTATGGTGGTCTAACTTGTGAAGTTCCTTCTTGAAGAGGGCTCCTATGATAACTTGATTTGCCATGATCTTTTCTCACAAGTTGTTAAACAAAAGGTAAAATGTGAGCCAAGCTCTGATACCAATTGAAAGTACAAGAGGGGGGGTGAATTGTAAATACTTCAAATTAATTACTTATAGGTTGACTTAAAACTTGAGTAGTCGGCTGAATATGATAATTTAGCAGATATGGTAACAAAAAGTAAAATGCAGAGAATAATTGCAGGAATTAAAAACACCGGAATTTTTATAATGGTTCGAATTCAATGTGAATCCTAATCCAGTCCCCTTGGGTTGCAAGGGAGTTCTCTTCAGTAAATGAGTTTCTTCCGAGTACAAATGTGGTGTATATCGCTCAGTTTCTCCAGCACTCATTTTTGATACAATGCCTCACCAGTTGTGTGCTCTCTTTCTATCCCTGACTTGTTACACAACAGATCTTAGTGAACTACAATGCTTGTTTGCAGTAGAATAAAGAGAGTGATTTGGTTTGATCAAAGTATGTCTTAGCTAGGGTTTACAAGGGTGTATAAATACTTTGATGGATGGTAGAGGCTTGACAACCCAAGAGATTTGATCCTTGGAAAGAATTGATTCTTTCCAAGAATAAGGAATGAGCCGTTGCTTCTCTTGATTGCTTTCCTTTAGCAGAGGATTGCTTCACTTGATTTCTCCTTGATTGTTGGATCTTCCAAATGTGGTCGCTTCCCAGATCTCCTCGTATCCTTTAGTCTTCCGTGATTCTGCCCATGATTCGTGCCTTTGTCCAAGGCTTATTTGATTTTTTTCCAGCTCAGCTAATTATTGTTATTGCTGATTGATTCGTTGATTAGATTGCGCCCAGATTTACGAGACCAATCCAGATTTGCTGATCACATGCTGATTGATTTCTTCCCTTATACATCATGAACCATTCGAGCAGTCTTCTTTACTTCTTGAACTTGATTTCCTGCACATGTATATTATTTGCATCATTAAAACATGATCTAACAGAATATGTGTTTGGTAGTGTTTGTCTCATATTAAAGTAAAAAAACCGATAAATAACCGAAAAAATCAAAAAACCGACATAAACTGAATCGATAAAAAACCGACTTAATTGGTTTGGTTTGGTTCTAATATTCGAAAAACCGATTTACTTGGTTTGGTTTCTTTTTAGGGAAAACCCGATCCAAACCGAATCATAAACACCCCTACTTTGAACCATTTTGCCGCCACTACGTAGGAGGGTGGGAAGAAGAAATAGTAAGTAGAAATATCTGTTACTTCAGTAAATTGAAATAGAAAAGAGAAAAAAAGACTGGAAAAAGAATGTGAAAGCATATTAATGCGGGTGAATTAGTTAAATGTCCTTGTAAAGTTCATACCTAGTTGGATTAAAAAATTTAGTTAGTAAACCTATGGATTCCACTAACTATTAAAGAGGAGATATATCAATTTTAAATGGGTACTTAATTAAAATTAACAAAAATAAAAAGCTAATTTTGTGAGTACCACAAGTAAAAAATTTCTTTTGCCTCCCGCACCAAGGGTGGGCGTTCGTTATTTCGATACGGTATTTAATAACTACCGTTCGGTATTTCGGTATTCGGTATACAATTATGCATACCAAATACCGTACCAAAGTAGTTCAGTACAATTCGATATTTCATTATTTAGTTCGGTATGATTTCGGTAAGCTTTCGGTATCATACCAACTTTGTCACGATCCAATTTAGGATCATGATTGGCACTTAGGAGCAAGTGCCCCCAAGTAAGCCTCATCGGTATTTTACAGAAAATCAGACAGAGTTTCCCCTATTTTTGGACTATCCAAAAAGTTTCCTGTCTCAAAAACAAGTAACAACCAACCAATATTTACCTAAATCAGTCACAATCTTCATCAACTAACCACAAATGGGTTTCCACCATTATTACCAACCTCCTCAACATAATAAAACCAAAAGCAACTCTAAAAATATGGGAAGAAAGTATAATACTAGTAACTAGTCCATATCAACAAATGAATACTCACGACACTAAAAGGATGACTATGGAGTGACTCTAAGAGTCCAAAGAAAAGACCATAATAATAAATAAATCTCGCCCACGCGAACAAGTGCGAGGCTCACCAAGAACTATCAACTTGTACGCTCTAATTAACGAAATCCACACTTGCGTCAACTGCTGTCTCTGTAAAAAATAATTAGCGGGGAGTGAGTCGCTAGCTCAGTGAGTAATAACACTTAACCACAACCGTTTTTATTAGGGACAAGTCAAAAACATGCTAGTATATTAAACAGAAAATATCATAAGAATGCCCTTTCAGAAATAATAAATAATTTTCAGTCTCATCATGTTTTTCTTGTAGTATAATACAATTAACAATTCAGTAATAAGCTCGGTAACCACTGTATATTCAATATTCACATTTGGGAGGTTTCAATGAACGGATCATGTAATCGGTATAACTGTGGATTTCTTCGCAAGAAGTCAAATATAACGGTAGTCCTTGCTCGAGGGAAACTAGTAACGGTATGTTAGTTCTACCTTGCCACTAGCGAGGGCTGTAACGGTAATCGGTAATTACAAGGTGCACCAGGTCTAACGAACCCGCCGTTAGCTACGGGATCTTTCAATGTCTACTCCCATTTATACTTGTCTCTGTAATCCGTATATACTCCTAGAAAATATTTTAAAATAGGGTATTTCGGTTCTTATCAAATCATATAATTTCATTTCGATAACAGTAAATTCAAATAACGATAAAACAGATCTAGTGACAGCGGAAATATCTAAAACAACGGTAATCATCTCAAATAACTATTTTGGTATCATATCGAGTAAAAGACTTGTCCCACATGCAACTCAAAATAATCGGTAAAATATTCATATTAAAAATCATGTGTAAATCATGCAAGTTATAAAAATATAAATTGCGGTAAGATTACTACTCACAGTACTCGTGCCGAAATACCAAATGCTTCACCTCGAGCATTTCGTACAAATTCCTTCAATCAATCTATAATTACATAATATTGATCTCATGTTAATTTTCTTGTTTAGGCTAATTCATAACTAATTTAGAATACCCTATCATCGGGGTTCATGTTTGAGTCTTAATTTGTGAATTTATATTTACTCATAGAACTAGTCCAAAATCTATAAATTCAAACTATTTAGTATACTTTATTCCTCCAAAATTAGACCTATCAGTACTTAAACCAAACCTTTATGTCCTTACTGGTCATAGTAATTATTTATTTATTAACCAAAAAAAACTGATATTGAATTTTTTTGTACTACATGAAATGGCATAGATGTAGTGAAATAATTCAACTGATAAGAAGAAGGTTAACCTTTTGAGCTGAAGGAGAACATTATACTTTCAATTTCAGCCCAATTCTTCTTAAATCCTTTGTCCAAAGCTTTCTCCTTCCTCCTCTCTTTTCTTCTTTTCTCTTTCTTTCCTTCTCTGCTTTTTTTTTTTGTTGTTTTTTTGTTTTCGTTTCTGAAGCTTATTCTTCGTCCCCTAACCCTAACCCTTTTAAAAGTTGGGCAGATGTTGTTTGTTATGGGCTTCGGCCCTTTTGTTTTAAATTCCTTGTCCCTTTTTTTTTTTTGATTTGTTTTGTTGCTTTTTTTATTATTTAGTTTCTTATTGTCGTCATCATTATTATTATTATTATTATTATTATTATTATTATTATTATTATTATTATGCTAATGAACAATACACCCTTATAAAAAAATAGGGTATTACATCCTCCCCGCCTTATGTAATTCGGTCCCCGAATTTACAACAAGTGCATACCTGTAGACTGAAATAAATTGGGATACTTCACTTGCATATCTTTTTCTACTTCCCAAGTAGCTTCTTCAACTATATGATTTCGCCATTTATCGTAGCTTTCTTACTTGCCTATCAATAATAGCCATCGGTTCCTGCTCGTAAGACAACTTCTCATCAAGCGGTATAGTAGGTGATTCAAGCACTTGAGATGAGTCTGATATGCATTTCCTTAGCAGTGAGACATGAAACACTGGATGAATAAAGGACAACTCAGGAGGAAGTGCCAAACGATAAGCCACAGCTCCCACTCGGTCTAGTATCTCATACAGTCCTATAAACCTGGGGCTCAACTTACCTCTTTTCCCAAACCGCATCACACCTTTCATAGGGGAGACTCGTAGGAACACTTTTTCCCCAATTGTGAACACTAAATCTCTTCTTCTTTTATCAGCATAAGACTTTTGTCTACTTTGAGCTGTAAGCAATCTCTGTTTGATCAACTGGACCTTGTCCATAGCTTCTTGTACTAGGTCGGGTCCCGATAAGTTAGTCTTACCAGCTTCAAACCGTCCGATAGAAGAATGACATCTTCTACCATACAATGCTTCGTACGGTGCCATTTGAATACTGGACTAGAAGCTATTATTGTAAGCAAATTCAGCTAAAGGTAGATAAGCATCCCAACTACCTCCAAACTCAAGAATGCAAGCCCTCAACATATCCTCCAAGATCTGTATAGTACGTTCAGACTGGTCGTCTGTCTGTGGATGAAATACAGTGCTAAGATCTACTCGTGTACCCAATGCTTCTTGAAAAGATTTCCAAAAATGTGAGGTAAATTGTGATCCTCTATTAGAGATGATGGATATTGGAACTCCGTGAAGTTGGACAATTTCGTTCATAAATATCTGTGCATACCTCACTCCACCATAGGTAGTCTTCATTGGCAAAAAGTGTGCTAATTTCGTCAGTCGATCTACAATCACCCATACAGAGTCATAACCTCTAAGGGTTTCGTGGTAGCCCGGTGACAAAATCCATTGTAATTCATTCCCATTTCCACTCTTGAATCTCAATTTGTTGTAACAGTCCTGTGGGTCGCTGATGATCAGCCTTGACCTGCTGACAAGTCAAACAACTAGAAGCAAAGTTAGCAACATCTTTCTTCATACCTTCCCACCAATAAAATTGCTTTAGGTCATGATACATTTTTGTGGATCCAGGATGTATAGTGTATCTAGAGTTGTGGGCTTCTTCAAGAATAGCATGTCTCAACCCATCTACGTCTGCTACACATAGCCTGTCGCCCATTCGAAAAACACCATAACTTTCAACAATCATATCCTTGCTTTTACCAGCTAAGGCCTCATCTCTGTATTTGCAATCTCTCATCCTCATATTGGGTGGCGTTAATGCGCTCAACTAGTGAAGACTTAGCCTGAGCACAAGCCAACAATGCCTCTGAATTTCCGACACTAAATCTGATACATGTATCTTCTAGTCTCTGAATATCTTTGGCCAAAAGTCTCTTTGCAGGAGCTATATGTGCCAAACTCCCCATAGATTTTCTGCTCAATGCATCAGCCACCACATTAGCTTTTCCAGGATGATACAGAATAGAACAGTTATAGTCCTTGAGTAGTTCCATCCACCTGCTGCCGAAGATTCAGATCTCTCTGCTGGAAGATATACTTCACACTTTTATGGTCAGTATAAATCTCACAAGTTTCGCCATATAGGTAATGCCTCCAAATTTTTAGAGCAAATACCACTGCAGCCATCTCCAAATCATATGTAGGATAGTTTTGCTCGTGCTTTTTCAATTGTCTCGAAGCATACGCTATAACGCGACCATTTTACATGAGGACACATCCTAATCCCACCCTCGAGGCATCACAGAACACCGTAAATCCTCCAGAACATGATGGTAAGGCTAATATTGGTGCAGTTGTCAAACGTGTTTTGAGTTTTTGAAAGCTCTGCTCACATTCCTCCGTCCACTGAAACTTTGCATTTATAACGACCCGGCCGGTCGTTTATGGAATTTACGCCCCGATCCCCTATTAACTGCTTCCCCCAAGTTTATTTTTGCTATTTCAATTTGCCGGGATGTTCAGTTTTGAGTTTTGGAGAGTTCTGGGACACTTAGTCCCCAAATAAGAGCTTAAGTGTTGGAA